ACTGGATTGCATCTTCTTCACCCGGTGAGGTTTGTGCGCTTAGAGCTGGCCAACTTAAGCGCTTTCTCCACTTGGCTTCCGGGTTGGCTAAGGAAGAGAAGGCCCTTCATGCCTCTCTGCATCCAGAGGTGCGAGCGGTCCTAAGGGGGAAGAGAGTACTCCTTTTTCAGGCTTTGCTCCATGAGGCGGGGATACAAGATAAGCACTTAGTGAAGGAGATGCTTAACGGATTCAGCCTCGTTGGGGAGGTCCCAGCCTCGGGCCAATTCCCACCTTTGTACACTCCTGCATCCATTTCGCCAGAAGAGCTGCGTCTGCTTGCGCCCTGGGTGCGCGGTAGGCTGAACGCTCAACGAGGTGGCCGTGATGTGCAGGTGGAGCAATCGGTAGCAGATGAAGCAAGTCTGCAAGCCTCGGATGGCTCTGGTTGGTTGCTAGGGCCCTTCTCGGAGGAGGAACTTGATCGATTCTTTCCTGATGGTTGGGTGCCATCCCGCAGGTTTGGCATTGATCAGGGGAAGAAAGTCCGAGGTATTGACGGCCTCAGTGCCTCGATGGTTAACTCTTCTTGTGGAACCAATGATAAGCTCACTCTTCAAGATATCGACGTCATCGTTGATATTGCCCGTGCGTTTGGTCATGCAGTTGCCCGTTTTGCGCCAACCTCCAGGCAAGGGATTTCGGGCCGGGCGATGGATTTGAAGAGTGCTTATAAGCAACTTGCGATTGACCCTGCAGGAGCCCTGGATGAAGGGTGCCCTCCTGGCAGATCTTTTCCACCAACTCCAGAATGGCGGCAACTCGACCCTCCTTGTTCGCTACGCGAAGAAGGCCACGACACGCTTCATTCAAGTCAAGCTGTACTCCAAGAATGGTAAAGAGCTTTGCAAAAGGAAGTGCTTTGTGTTCATCATTCGCCACAGACCACCCAAGCAACTGCATCACAGCCAAAGCAAGCTCATGCGACGTCTCCACCAAACAGTCCAGCTCCAGATGACAAAAGTCATCGTAAAAATTGGACACCACTAATCGGAAGACTTTGACCAGGATCTGCCTTACACCTTTCGCCACTCTGTTGAAGGCTCCAACCGCGTGAATGGAGCCAAAAGGCAGTGTAGTGAATCTGTAGTACTCAAATCTTTCTAGCTTCGGGTTCCACACAGCCAGGATGGCTGCCCATCCATGAGGCCAAGCTCCGAGGCAGGATGATGTATGCTTCTTCACACACGTTTGGGAGAGTGGCAGTGCTGGCAACCAGGGTGCTCTCACGCAAGCTGGCGATTGGTGGTCCCGTAAAACTGACTCGGAAGGAGATTGATGTCATCCGGGGTGCTGCGGACCTACTAGCTCGCTCAGAAGCCCGTGAAGTGTGTTTCCTTCAACCAGAGTGCCCGGTGTTGGTCTTCACAGACGGCGCGTGCGAATCCAAGAGTCTCTTGACTACGCATGGTGCAGTACTCATTGATCCCCTGCAGCAAGTCAAGAAGTTTTTCGGTGAACCTGTCCCTGAACCTCTACTAGATCGATGGAGGCAAGGGGGAAAGACGCAGTTGGTAGGCCAAGCAGAAGCACTGCCGGTCCTGGCTGCAAAAACTTTGTGGCGCCTCCTTGCTGGTACATCGGAAAGTGCTATGGTTCTTGGATAATGAATCTGCCAAGGCTGCATTCGCTAGTGGCTCTTCTGCGGTGGATGATACCTTTGAAATTGTGAGCCACTCCCTTGTGCTGGACCAAGAGCTCAAGGCTTACAATTGGTACTCAAGAGTGCCGTCGTGTGCAAACATCAGTGACGCTGCCTCTAGGTTGGCCTTCGAGCAGTATGATGATTCATTCAGGCGTGAACACTTGGACTGGACGTGTGAACCTCTGGCATCCCTCTTGGAGGGAAGGGATGCGATCGCCCAGCATGTGAAAGGGTTGTAGTCGCCTGGGGCGATCGGGAGCTTGGTGCTCGTCCTAACCTTCTCACTTCGGTTGGACCGAAGCGAGATGCTTCGGGTTTTTTGGTTCCCGTGTGTTTTCCCACAAGTGAATCATGCACCGCTGTTTGCATTAAGCCTAAACAAGCCTTGCGCAGCTGGAGCATCTCCGGCTCACAGCTGGCCTTGACCTAACCCCTAGGTGGGGCCTTCTGCTTTTCGGTCAAGGCCTTCTACGCTCTTAGTGCTTTCTAGAGCCTCCAGGCCTCGTAATCCGGGTGTTTGTAGCCTGCACACCCTGCCATGGCCTACCGCGCGAACATGCCCATCCGCACAGAGGTTCGCAGCTCTTCAGATGGCGGACGCTGCGACTACGTCCTCACGTGGGATGATCTGGTCTACTTGCATTTGAACAGACTGGCCCTATTTGCACAACCTGCCCAAGATGACTACGCCACGCCTTGTCCTGGCTACGAACCAGGCCCAGCGGATACCACCCCGCCGGTCCGCTTCAGGGCCCGCACTGCGCCCACTACCGCACGCCTGAACCAGCGATGCACACTCCTCTTGGAGCCTCTGGTTTGCCTACTACAATGGATGCACCTATGGGCCCTACCGAGCCCCTACGAGACCTACTCCTCTTGGAGCCTTCAGCTCGACTTCCGCAATGGATGCGCTTATGGGTCCCGCCGGGCCCCCCTTTGAAGCTAAGCGTGACACTCCTCTTCTACAGCCAATGACTTCATGCCTTCAAAGCCCAACGAGCCTCACGACCTGGTGCACATCAGGTCCCTGCTCGTTTATATGCACAATCACCTGGCCTGCCAAGACGCAATGGGCCGCACTCTGATGCAGGCAGAGGAATCCAGACGCCTGGAGCTGCAAGCGGTCTCTGCCCAACTGCAGGAAATACGCACCAGCCTAGCCTTCGTCCAGCAGGCCTACACCGATCTCAGGCTTGAGCTCGACAGCATCGCAGCCGACTTTCTGGCCTATCGCATTCGCGCAGAAGCGGAGATGGCAAGCCTTAGGGAAGCCTTGGGGCCCATGCCCTCCCAAATCAATACCCTCAAGCGTATTGCAATACTGCCCTACAATGCACACCTTCAGGCCCTGCGTACCTTTCAGGTCCCGGCAAACAGGTGGGAAGAGGCAAATCCCCATGCCCTGTTGCGTAGAGAGCTTCTACACCTAGAGGACCGCCTCCTTCGCCTAGAAGCTGCCCAGCCCCCGGTGTGGTTCTGATACCTCACGCAGTTATCGGCTCTTGGCGTTTCTTAGGGACCCCTTTTGGCTAGCTTTGTTGTGTCACTTCGGGCCCATGCCTCCTCAGCCTAAAAGCCCAGCTTTCCAACCCTGCCCCTGGAATGTCCAGGATTGGAGTGGCACCGAGGACAGCAGTGACACATGCCCAGACGCCACAGCGTCCTCAGCGCAAGAGCCCTTCGCACACAGCTTCGCTCTTGCACAGGTCAGGCTGCCTCACCAGGTCAGACAGCCTACGACAGCGCCCACGATGCCCCAGCCTATTAATAGCCCTAACCCGCCTGCCGACCCTAATACGCCCATACCCTGGCCTAAGCCTAAGCCTCCGCCGCCACAGCGCCTGCTGTCTAATGCTGGCTCCATACTGCCCCCGCTGCCCGCTGGCCCCAGATTGGCACAGCACCAATTCTTCGCCTTCCCTATACAAACTTCTGCTCCCGCTATCAAAACCGCACATGCCGCCGACAGTGTGCCTTACACATGTCGGCACTGCAACGCGCCCATGCCCACGTGTTCGCCCTACATGGTCTACCCGCACAGGCGCTCATGCCCCAGGTTGCACGGGCCAGACATCTTTTCAGCCTCAGCAACATACTGGCCTGCATCTGGGCTCACATTAGCCCACAAGATCGCCGCTCATTTCACGTCATTGACTGGTGGTCTGCCGCCGATGCCCGCTGGTACTTGGCAGGCCTGCCAATGCCTGACTCAGATGACTACTCCGACCAGGGGTCGTCATCGGGCACTAGCACCGCTGCCTCAGTGGGTGCCTAGCCTATGCCGGTGCTGTGCGTGAGCACCTCTCTGCCCATCCTTTGCACGTGCCTACCGGAACACACGCCACGCTGTTGTGAGCCTCACGCTGCCTGGCCTAGTGCCCCCCCCCTCTGTGCCATTTGTCTCTGGACCCACCCATCCTGCCCCTTGCCTGCAGGTACCTACGCCTTCGAGCTCGGCATCGACTGCATGCACATCCAGGTTGCCGGTTGCTACCTTACTCTGCCTAGTTGCATACTGCCTTGAGAGTTGCTAACCAGTTAGCGTTCACGCCTCTTCACTGCCAGGCCAATACGCACTTTATGCCTGCCTCTCTCGTTCGACTTCAAGGCCGGCTGTGCTCTTGCAGTCGTTCGTGAGCATTGTTGCCGCATATGCCCTGTCCTCTGTACACTGACATGCCTGCCTATGCGGTCTCCGCAGCCATACTTTGTTGCTTTCAGCGCCGCTTTCTCAGCTTCAAGCCTCCCCAGATTCTGTGTTTGCCCATTCTCTCGCCCAGAATGGACACGGCCGACATTCAGGGAAAGCTGCTTGCCTACTTCAATCAGCTCAGCCCTGAGGCCCGCGATCGCCTCCTAGCCAGTGCCCCTGCACAGGAGGTACAGCCACAACCCGCCTCGGGTTCAGGCAACGCACAGCCGAGCCAGACAATGCCTACCAAGGCCCCGCCATCCGTGGTCACTGGCAAAGCCCAGGCCCAAACGCCTGATTCGGGCCCAATGCCTAATCCAGCCTCGGATTCTGCCTCGGCTCTGCTCACAGATGAGCTAGCCGCTATGAAGGAGGCCGCCTCCACCCGCCGCGGGCAAAAGGCCAAAGCCCTCTCGCGCAAAGACTGGGATTTCATTGACCCAGCCCAGAAGCTATCCTGGTCGCAAGACCAGATCCTCCTACTGGTTCACTCTGGAAGAAGAGCCAGCCCAGGGGCAGCCAGCCCAGCCCAAGGGTCCTTCCCCATGCCCACAGCCAGCACACCCGCCTCAGCAGGCCCAAGATCCCCTTCAGCCGCCGGGAACCAAAGCCCCACCGCCACCTATGCCACAAGAGCCAGAACCAGCCCAAAAGAAGATCACGTGCTCGGTCTTCGGAGCGGACGGCTGGATTCTCAGAAAGGACCAAAGAGGCAGGGTGCACATCACCGAAGCCGACTACGCCAGCCTAATTGCCCATGCCGACCAGGGCGACCCCCGAGCCCAGGAAGTGCGCTCCATGGGGTTCAACATATGGGCCCCGCAGTTTGTTGCGGGCCCTGTGGTGCCTTTCTCTATCATCAGCCCTCCGCCGGCACAGCCACAGCCGGCCCCAGCCCAGGAAGCCCACACCACGCCTCCCACTGCCCAAGAGCGGGCCGACACCCAAGACGCCCAGCCCCAGGACGACTTCACAGACTTGCTTGGCCTGGGGCAAGATTCCTCGGATCGAGGGCTCCGCAACCCCTTCCCGAACCCACATCGCCCAGGAGGTGACTTCCGGCCCAAAGCAACCAGCGCCAGGTCCATGCCCTGCCCACACCTGTCCATCACGCCCAATGCCGACAGACGCTACCGAGGCACGCTCATCATGCCTAGTGTCTGCCTACAAGCTTTTCGGCTCAACAGTGACTGTGTGTGGGTGTGTGTGTGTGTTGGTGCGCGCTGTTTGTGGCTGTGAACGGGCTGTGCTTCAACGTGGCCCCGCTTCTAACCAGGCTCCCCTTCGACGCTGTAGTGCAACATCTTCGCCATGGCCATGACTCGATTTGTCCTCTTCATGCTGCTTGGATGGTACCTCGTGCCACATGTACTGGCAGGGAAGCGAGGCACATCCGGAACTCCCCACAGGAATCCGAACCAGCAGAATCTCCCGACGCAGCGTGGCACCAGCTCCCATGGCGATGCGGGGCAGGCTGCTTCCTCCTCCTCCGGTGCTACCAATTCCAGGCGCGCACAGAGTTCGGGCGCCCCAGGGACTGGCAATGCAACTACACCCCCTGACCTACCATGGATGGTGGATAAGCACGCATGTGCGGAGTATCAAACCTGGGCCAGGCGTGTCCGTCTTTTGGAAAGAGGAATGCCCCAGGACATGGGCATTGAGGCCTTTGATGTCCTCTATAGGTATTATACCTCCACTGGACTCACCGCGGAGAAGATAGCTGAGGCAATTGAGGTCGGGCTACGCCAAGCTGATGTCGAAAGAGCGCCCCTTGGACAACAAGACCTTTACCAATGGGCCTATGCTCGACTGACGCAGCTTGGTGACGCAACCCTGCCACCGCTTACTACTGACACTGGCGGCCATACCTCATCAAGCTCGGGCCAGGGCCGGGGTGGCAGCCACGTGCAAAGCTCGGGTCCCACGGATTCACTGTACTCTGGGTATGAAACCTTGACCTCGGACACGCACTCATCAACCGAACGCATGATAGATGGAGAATTGTGGGTTCGAGTGGAGGGCGTTTGGTGCAGGGCCTACGAAAGAATCAGTGATCCCATTGATACAAGCAGGGCGCCGCTCATACGCTCGAGCTTTGGATTACACTACTCTACGCCATCCACAGCGCAGCCAGCCCCTGCTACACCTCCGCGGGAAGGCCGCCTCTGCAGAACTCTCCGGGAAGCCTATGCCTCGCCTGATGCCGAGATGGGAAACGGGTCTTTGCCGTCCAACCTGAGTACACTTGATAGACCTGCAACTGGCTCCTCCCCTGGGGTGCCAGTATCTGGCCCCACGGTGCCATCCCCAGCGCTACAGTCCCATGCTGCGGTTGGCAGCCCTGACAGCGCTAACAATGGACACCCCAGTACAGACATAGCTGGCCCTGATGCGGAGACTGATGGTTCGTGCAACGCTGCTGTTGGGACTACCTCTTTGGTATCCTGTCAGGCACCTACGGTGAGCTTTCCGCGCCCGGATGAGGCAACCCTTGAAGAGGCATGCACTTCCCTGTATCTTGATCTGCTACAAGCACATGAGAGAGATCCACTGGCACCGTTCCTGTTGCTGCTTCGATTCCTTCCAATCGAGGCTATCTTCGACGCAGTGCTGGCCCAATGCACTACGGAAAGGCAAAGAATCATGGTCACGAACAACATTCTGAGGCTGTGGCACCTGGCCAGCACTGATCTACCGAATGACTCGGTCTTGGCTCGTCCTCGACGAGGTGCAGCTTCTGTCTCCTCACAGGACACAGGTGGGAGCTTCCCTCTTTCATTTACTTGTATATTGCAAGTGTTCCACTGTTTCTTGCATGAACATGTGCACTGGCAGGGGTTGTGGCGCAGGCCTCTGACTCTTAGGAGGTGCCGTGCCTACTTCTTCTCTCTCCCAAACAGACCTCCCCTAACGCGTAACCAGCTCCCAGGCCCGCTCGATACGGGCGCTACTACCGGATGTGATGCTGAGCCGCTGTTAGCGAAGGTTTCTCCACTCCTGGGTTGCCCCTCCTTGGGCCCCAGTGTTGTGTTTTTGATTCATGGGGGAGGGCCCTCCTCTCAGCCTAGTGCTGATATTGGCAGATCTCGATGCCTTTGGGCAGGAGCAACACCGAACTCTCTCCGCCTCGCAACAGCGGTTGATCATTGCTCACTGCATGGCGTGTACCAGAGCACTTCCGTGTACGTGTGCCGCAGCATTACCGTCATCCCCAATAACAGGTGGTTTAATAATAGCAGTCCCAAAATCCCCCACTGATAGCCTGTCTACCGTCGGACATTGTCTCCCCCCTAAACTGCCCGAGGTCAACGGACTGAGTTGGTTGTACGAGTCTCTTGCCACACACCTTTGCAATGATCTAGGCCTGATTTCTCTCCATGACACTGCTCGTGTTGGCCCTAAGGTCCGAAGCGCTCCGACTGACACGTGGCCTCGCACCCCTGTGGGCGAACAGGACACCTTTTGCTGGGCACTAACTCCAGAATCCCTAGGGCGCCCTGAGCCTGAACCTTTGCAGGAGGTAGATCTAAGCATCACGACATGGCCGTGTGCTCTTATGTGTGACCTCCACTATGGTGAGCATACCGCGCCTCGTGGCTATAGGGATCACAGCAAGCGCCCAGATACGCCTAGCAGTACCCGACCATGGCTTCCTCAGATAGCGAGGACTCGTTACTGGGCATGCTATTCGACTCCCAGGGCAACCCAGTCAGGCCAGAAGGCCGCTCGCGCAGCCGTCGCAGACGAAGCAGAGGAGCCAGCTCATCTCGAAGGGATAGCGGCTCTGTGCCTGCCCCATCGACCCCAGTGGCCAACAGGGGAGATGCTGGGCCCCCTCCGCCTACACCGACCTCCACGAGCCCGACCGCTACTGCCTCTGCCGTGGATCGCACTGCCCCCCCCAGGCCAGGGGGACCACCCCCCCCGAGGGCAGCGACGCGAATGTCCCCTGACCCGGCGTCGACAAGGACTGATGGAGAATCTACAGCCTCTTCGCCAAGAACACGCACTGGGCCACCGACGACAGATAGGCCACAGGCAGGTTTTCTCCAGTCCAGTGGAGTGTACAGGTCCTGGCACCTGCTACCAGGACCGGTGGTGCAGTTTATCTCCCCCTCCTGGGAGCCACATCTTGGCCCCAGGTCCACGCAGACGTGGGTGTTTGTGCCGGGTCCGGAAATGCAGTCAACTCCTGCTCCACCCACGGTCGCTGCGGCTGACCCACTGCACTTTCCCTGAGGTGTATGTGCCAACCTGGGCATTGCTTGCTGGTGAAAATGAAGCACCTCTGCTAAGAGCGAGTGCCTGCTGCATGTGTCATGGTGTTGTGGGGTCCGGCGTGCAGTACTGGCTTGTACACTGCACTGCGTGTCAGGATCGAGCCTCCCCGAGTGGTGTGCGGAACCCTACTGCTCAGCACACTGCTCTCATCACCCATGCTTCCAGTGCGGCTCTTGAGTTCGTCACTCCTGCTACCATGCATGTAATCACTTTGTCCCTGGGTGGCATCCCTGCCCCAGGTTGGTCGTCTACACCTCTGGCCCGACTCTCCGCCTTTCCCAAGACGACACGGACCTGGACCACAGGACCGACTGTTCTCAGATGTTGCTTGTTTAGTGCGCGACAGTCCTTCTGGCAGCGGTGTGTGCACAAGCCTGCTCAGCCACGGCAAGCCTTACTGTCCTGGCCATGCTGCGCATTGGGCTCCACCTCTGCCTTCTTAGTGAGACCCTGTGCCTGCCAGCCCCTCCCTCAAGGTTTACAACCACCCTTACGCTCCTTGGGTGTTCAGGGCGTTGGGGTTGAAGTACCTGAATTTCGGTCCACCCCTCGGGTTTGGTGTGGCTTCCCACCCTTGATTAGTCCATATGGCCGATCAATGGATGCCCCCTTGGTGACAATGGAAACGAATCCTGGAGGGGCCAATGACGCCAGCAGACGACCACCGAGATCTCGTAAGAAGGCTGACGGAACCAGGCGACGGACTCAGGGTGAAAAGGAGGCTAGATCGCAGCGGCCTGACAAGCGGGCCAGAGCTGCAGCAGCGGCAGCTGCAAAGGGCAAAGCCAAGGCCAAGCAGCAAGCTGGACGCTATTCTGGCACCTGGGAGGCGCTGCCCACCACGCCCCAGGAGTGGCAATGGAGCGAGCATTGGAACACCACATGGTCTAGCTGGAATTGGAGACAGTCCAGTACCCTGGATGAACAGGAGGATGGTCAGAGCTTTGACTGGATCGCTGACCCCAACGTCGACACGGCTCAGCACTCCTCCTCTACTGACCATGACGATGAAGGTGCTGCTCCCTTGCAGGGTCCCTCGACCGCAAGATCCTCACGGGATGATGCTGTTACTTCCAGGCCCTGGCATTTGGAGGGACGACACGGGGATGGGCGGGCATCCACGGACCCCGCCAACCTAGACCACTCTCTACAAGGTCTGCCGTTGGAAACACGGTCGATCTTTAAGGCCGAGGATGCCGAGCCAGCCCTGGATGACTGGGCAGCCGAAGTGCAGGCAACCGCCACTGTCGTCTCATCTGAAGATGAGCTCTGGAGCGAAACGCCACCGGGTAGACAGTCGGACCGGCGCGTGGAGGCGCTCACACCCAGAAGATCCATGGATGATAACTCATCTGGTGTCAGTTCCCCTGAACTGTTGGCTGAGGATGCTGCCCGAAGGGTCCGTGACACCTTGGCCACTCTTCCGGGGGGCATTCGTAGAGCCCTTGGGCAACCGGAACCGGGCATATCCCACACCGGATTGCATCCGCCTGCACACACGGGACCATCCTCATCCTCTGGACATGTGCACGAAGAGACCTCCACTCAGCCACCTCCACGCCCAGCTGGACAAGGCAAGGTGAGGTGCGCTCTAGAGGGCCTGGTGGATTGGCCTTCCGCCCAAGGAGGGAAACTGTTTCGAGGGCCCTCACGGCGATCCTTCGCCATGACGTCGATGGGGCGAATCTCCTACGGGCAGATGGCTTCCTTCCGCTTCATGCTCTCCTACGTTTACCCACAGCCAAGAGGCATAGCCTAACGCTCGACGAGATAGTCACTGAGTGCTCTGTCAACGAGAAGAACAGATTTCAGCTCAGTGACGACGGTAAGGCGATCAGAGCAGTCCAGGGACACAGTATCAAAGTCCAACCCGACCTTTTGATGTCGATGTTGGCGGCGGCGGACATGCCGTCCCTGCTGCTGCATGGTACGGCACGCAAGCACTACACCGGAATCTATAATGCTGGCCTAAAGGCTGGGGGTGTGTGGGGCTCTTCCTACCGACAACACATCCACCTGACCACGGCTTTCCCCGGCCAACGCATGATTTCAGGCATGCGTGAAGACTGCGAACTGGCACTGCATATAGATGGCAAGCTCGCCTTCGAAGCTGGCATTGTATTCTATAGAAGCGCCAATGGTGTAATCCTGACGGAAGGACAGGCTGGCACTCTTGTCTGTCTCTTTCTTCGAGGCGTCACATTGCTAGCCCCGAATCATAACAGACTTTTCCTTACCGACAACGGTCTGTTGCCAGCTCCGCTGGTCGTTTTCAGGGAATTTGCCAAGCTAATGCGAGATGGCCCTCAAGATCGCCCAGCTGCATACTCTTCTTCCCAGGGTAGCCGGTCTTCGGCCCCTGGTTGCTCTGAGCATGGTGACAGCCGTAGTGTACAGAATGCACTGGCCCACCCTCAGCCCAAGCGTTCAAAAGGAGCCACCTGCCACTCCCTCGCGCATAGTACCTACATGGCAGACAAGCTCCTCTCTGTTCACAAACCGCTTGCCTTGGCCAGGACTGAGATGACGCCCTGGTGTTGGGGCCTTGGCCTCTGCGCTCTGCTCTGTATGCTCAGATTGCGTGCGACCAGAAGACGCAAGCACTGCTGGCTTACCACCAGAATCATCAAGGGTGTCTATCGTCGCAGACACCACTGGGATGCATCTCCTTCATGCCCATTGCATATAGTCCCAGGCCTTGCGACTAAAACTCCCTTTTGGTCACTAGCACCCTTAGGTGCACACACACACCCCCGAAACAGAGCTCACCCTGATATGAGCTCTTTCATGAGCCGCCCTGGTCCCAATTCCAGGGGAGTCCCCGCATCACATTTATACGTGGTCTCTCATGAAGAGGGTGACTCAAAAGCGAGGGTTGCTAGTGTTCCCATGGCACTAGCTGCAGACAGACCTATCTGCTCCAAAAATCCTCATGACTTGTCGAAGCCTTATGGGTACCACCCCACGCTACACTCTGTAACTTCTGCTCCATGCTCTCACTCTCTCTCTCTCCCTCTTCTCATTCAGGAGATGTTTGCCCGATCGAACATCTCCGCCGACGGCTCGCTATGCTCTAAGTGTGTACGCCACCGGGTTGGCAGTGGTGACAGGAGTCATCGCTACCCTTTGCTGCGCCTTTGGGTATCACTTCTTGTCTTGTTTTCGCTCTTCTCTCCGACCGAGACTGCGTGCACACACCCAAGTGACCACTCCGCAACGTATCAGCCACTTCCTGGAACCTTGTCAGTCCCACCTGAACATGGTGTTCGCAAAAGATCGTTTCTGAGAGCCTGTAGGAGAGCTCTGAGGTTTGGTCAGACTATGTACAAAGGCAGGCCGCTCAGACAAAATCAAGTACCATCGGCAATCACTACCCCGGTGATCAAATCAGGCACCAAGCACGCCTGTAACAAAGGCCTACGCACATTCATGTGGAACTGTGGTGGCCTCGGCGGCGGCCTTTACGAGGAACTAATGGTTACCTGGATAGATCGGATCTTGACATAGCAATCATTCTTGAAACGAGATGGTCTAAGGACCTTGAATACTCCACCGACAAATGGCACATGGTACATTCCGCCCCGAGTGCCAAGGACCACGGCGGTATTTTGGTTGCTGTCAATCAACGCCTCTGTCCCAGCCACAAGTTGCAACTGCAAATGCATATTCCCGGACGTGTACTGCAGATCCGCCTTCCCGCACCAAGGAATGCGCGCAATATCCATGTTCTTGCAGTCTATCAGAAGGCTTGGAACTCACAGGATCCTGACATATATGATAAGCGGCACAAAATATGGAATAGTCTAGACTCTGTTATACGAAGCGTCCCGCAAAGGGACCACCTTCTTCTCACAGGCGATTTCAACACACAACTATACCCACAAGCACCGACTGTGGGCCCGGTCACAGGACCGCTTGCTGCTGACAGAGCTTTAGACGAAACCACCTTCCTTGATATGCTAAGAACACAGTCCATGATTGCCCTCAATACGTGGACAGGCACCTCCAAACGCTCTTGCACCTTTGTGTTTGGTGACTACCGCTCGCAAATCGACTACATCCTTGTTCGAAGAGGCGACGCAAGCCTGCAGGCCCGACGATGTACCACAATTCCGGGTTTCCAAGTGGGTGCCTCTAGAATGGGTGGAGCACATCACCTCCCCCTCGTGGCCCAGCTTCCTCTGAGGCACTGGCAATGTTACCAGACTGACCTTGCTCTGCCCGCTGCCAACCGACAGATTGACCGTGAACAGCTCATTGCCTGCACTAAACCATGCTCATCCTCAGTCAAGGCGCACGGTGCCTCCTCTGATTGCGCTGGCCCAGACCCTGAGCTGCCCAAACTTCATATATACCAGCAGAAAGTTCAAGAGGGACAGTTCCGCAGAGCCCACGAAGACCCATGGGGCTGGTTCCATGCCTATGCGCCCTAAGCCCATGTGGCACACAGGCTTTTCCCTAAGGGATCTGCCCATAACTTTCCGCCTAGCCTGCTCTAGCCTCTCAGCCTTAGCCCATCCTCGGCCTAAGAATTGGGCCTTATTTTGCATCCGCCGCCGGCCCGAACAAGACAAAAAAGGAGGGCATGCCCATTACGCACTCACATTGTCCCATGCGGTTCGACTGCCTTGTTCTAGTGTGTATGCCTACCTGACGCAGGTGCCCACCATCGAGCCCATCGAGATGCAGCCGGAGCCCTGTATACACCGAGAAAAGCCTCCTGCCTGGTTCTTTGCATTGCCCGTACAGGTTTGTGCACAGCTTGACACTTTCGTCCAAGTTTTCACATACATGGAGCGCCTGTCGTCAGCCCACTGTGCGACCCATTCTGGCAGCTTTCACTCAAGCCGCCGGGAACATGCTTCCGAGTCACAAACCGCGTGTCGACTGGAGCCCTACTCCCAGTCGTAAGAAGCCCAGACTGCCTAATAATGAAGATCTAAGGCCTAACCCGCCCTCCCCTGCCTCCCTGCCGGGGTTCGCGACAGATCTCCTTTCAGAGGTTGAGCTCGACCTCGACCCGATCGAGGACTGGGACCCCCCGAATGCTCCCTCGAGCACTGGGCATGATCCCATTGAGGACTGGTCCCCAGACAACGACGCCTCGATGCATTCTCATCCCCGGCAGCAAGCCAACACGCCCAAGTCGGCCTCCGGCTCCTCTCCCTCTTGGGAGGTGCTCAAGGGCCGACATGTCAGTGTCAAACTTGTCCCAGCACCTGCCCAAGCCCGTACCCAAAATGCGCGGAAGGCGCCCGGTGCAGGCTCCGCACAACACAGCCTCACTGCTCATGCCCATATCGGCCTGGCCTCAGCCTCCGTGTAAGTCCCCGCGTTCGGGGCCCTGCCCTAAACACACTGCCCTCACACTTGGAGGCCCAGCCCCTCCTGCATGCCCCAAGAAATTTCAGACATGCTGGCACGCCACGTCTCCACTGCCCAAACCCCCCCCTAAGCCCGCACCTGCCAGTGCCTATATCAACAAGCCTAAGCCCTTGCCGACACTGCCACCGGAGACCCCTAAGCCTGCTAGCTCCCACTCCAGAGCCTGAAGCATCCTCGAGGCGCCAAGAGACAACCATTCAACAACAACGTGCGGGGCCGCCACGCCTTCAAACGATGCTTGCCAAAGAAGATGCCCGCAAACTGGAGTGCAACCGCGTGTGGCTGCTCCTTTTGGACAAGCTAGGGAGCACCAGCTCCCTCTGGACGGAGACGACCCAATCTCTCACTCCTGAAAGACTTCGGGTCCGAGCCATCTCAGCCTACGCAGCCTCCAGCCTCGAAGCCTACCTGTCCAGATGCACAAGATTCCTTGATTTCTTGCAGGCACATAATATAACGTTTTCAACACTCTCCCTGGCGGAGCTAGCCGACTACCTGGATGCCGCTTACGCCTCTCTTGCCCAGGACAGAGACGTGTGCCAGATCTCGCCCAAGACGACCCTCAAAGCCCTGTCTTGGTTGTCGCGCATGGCCCAGGTGCGGCACTTGCTAGAGTTACTCAGCAATCCGCTCATCTCGACATTCAGAATCGACACACAGCCCAGAGATCGCAAGGAAGCCCTGCCCATTCCCATGGCATGCATTGTGTCATGGGAACGCCTAGTGTGCAAACCTTCTACAGGCACCCAAATGGTCCTCCTGCTCGGAGCCTTTTTACTAGCCTACCACGCGTGCCTGCGCTTCGGCGACTTGCAACGCATCCGCCTAAGCAGCCTCAGCCTGACAATGCAAGCCCTCCGGGGAATTTGTTGGACGACCAAGACCTCTAGGTCAGGCCAGCCATTCGCGGTAACCCTGACCGGCCTATCAGGACGAGGCCCCTCGACCTCGTGGTGCCTGGCCTACCTCACACGCCTACACACCTCTTGGCTTGCAACGGAACGTTTCTGGCGCTCCTCATCCGAACCGGATTTCATGCTGCCCATTCTGCCAAATTGGTCCAACCCATCACAAGCGGGGGTTGCATTCCAGTCGCCCATGTCCTACACTCAGGCCCTGCCGGCACTGCGCTCTGCGCTGCAGCTCCGCGAAGCAGCCTCGCCAAGCGCCCTCAACGCCCAGGAGGCACTCAACTTCACCCTACACGGCCTCAAAGTGGGGCTCCTTAGCCCAGCCAAGCAATTACGGTTGCACAAGGTCAGCTCCGAACTGTACGGGAGAGACGACACCATTGACAGCCTATGGGTGCAAGCCTCGGTGACACGCAAGGTTTCCACAGGCTGGAGGCCCACACGCCCCATAGCCCGTGGGGGACAAGCCCCCACTGTCGAGCCCAGCTTCCAGGTGCCGCCGGGCCCAGTGCCTAAATCCATGCCTATCAGCCACATGCTCCCCATTATTCCCCGATTCATGTACGCACGTGAGTTTCAGACCCAGGGCGACATCGACGACGACGCCAACGAGCCTCCTTCGCCCTCGCCCTCAGGGTCTGGTGAGGAGCAATCAGCCTCAGAAGATGCCTCCGACGAGTCCACGCTGGATGGAGACTCATACTCCTCCAGTGAAGACGACAGCCCACACAAAGCCCCGCAGGCACGCCACCCCAAAGCCCCCCTGCACCCCGCCACTGCCATCGTCGCCAATGGACACTGGGGGGCAGTCCATCTGGCCCATCCGATCTCAGACACTCACTCGCGCACTGCTTGTGGGATAGTCATGGGGGACGCCGGGGTCATCATGCCTGAGCCTGACCCATCTAGGATGTGCCGCCACAAAGCCTGCCGCCTCGCCCTGGACGCCTTCCAGAGCCTGCCTTCAGAGTAAAACAAGCACGGCCCGCAGTGCAAACATGTTAAGCCGAGCCTACTCTGCCCTCCCCGCAAACCCCCCTGCCTGCCTGCCCAGGTGCTCGCCTACACCGCAGCCGTTCAGATTTTCTCGAGAACGCCGTGAGCCCCCACTCCGTTTTTCCGCGCCATGGACTGCCCGGATGCCTTCCGGGACCTGCTCAAGGAGTGTCGGGTACACGCCTCGCTGTGCAGTGCCATCTCAGATGGCGGCTACCAGTCCATGTCGGACTTCGCTTGGGCTTACACTCCCTGCCTGAAGCAATCACACAAGATCTCGGCCCCGGAGGCCTAGACTCCTCCGTGGAGATCGCCCGCCTACGACGCGCCCTGGACAACTGCCACAAGCAGGTCCAGCGTGCAGATGCCCAAGTGCCCTCGCCAAGCCCAGCCCAATTGCCCACGCCTACCATGCCTTCTCAGCCATCACAATGGATGGAGCACCTGCCACCACGCCTAACCCAGGACATTGTCCAGGATATGGTGGACAAATTCAAAGCCAATTACCCAGGCGAATTGCTAGATCAAGACAGTCTGCCCAGTATCCGCCTACTCAGCCTTGTACACCACAGCCTAAAGCCTGGGGAAAAGATCCGTTGGATCCCTTGGCAATTTCGCCTATCCGCCCGCCAATACCAGGAGCACATGGAAGCCAAGACTGCCAAGCCCCTGCGCACAGAAGCCCAAATCATTGCCTCTGCCTTCTTTGATGAGACCCCAGAAGTGCCCGTAGAGCACATGCGCCTAGCGGCGGCCTGGTTAGACAGGATCCAAACTGTCTTTCG